ATATTTTCATCTTACTAATTCAAGTTCTGATGGTTAATTTTACATGTCAAATTGAGTGGCCACAGGCTGCCCAGATTAAAGATGATTTGTATTTTATCTATAAAAAAAAAAAAATTCTAAACTTTTGTTTTTGAACACACTTTCACTTTTGGTCTTTCTCTCCTCTTAGGCACTGCATGTGAAATATAAATGACCACGGGGGAAGAAGAGACAGCATCCCCAAAGAAGCAGGTTCTGACAATGATTAATGCGGAGCTGCCAGAGAATGTCTGGCAGCAAAAAGAAGCAATAGCTTATGTAACTGATAAAAAATTAGTAGGACCCTAATAACATAGCTCCCTGGAACCTGAGATAGTGCATTTGATGAATTGTTTAAACTAGACTGTATTCTTCAACCTATTTAAACCATGGAGCAAAAATATGGGAGAAAAAAATTAGTTAACTTTTCTTATTCAATTTGGTTAAATTGTTGGGTTGGTCAATGGAATATACTGATTAACAGAAGTATTACACATGTTGTTCAATTAAAAATTACAGTATATTTTTCATTATCACTGTGCTGAATATCAGTTCATCTTTCCTCAAATATGCTGAAGGCATTTCTGTATTTCAAGTTATTTATAAGTCATGGCAAAAACTGCATAATTCTACTAATGGACAAAGTGTAAGAGCCTGAACTGAATTTCTATCCATATTATGACATACTTAAAAAGCAATTTTTTTTAAAAATCAATCTTTATTGTTCATATTATTACAAAGGTTCCTCATTTCTTCCCCCCTCCACCAGGTTCCCACCCCACCCTTTGCCCCCTCCCCATCCCCCATTGTCCTCATCCATAGGTGCAGTTTATGTTCAGTCTCTTCTTCCCTCAATTTCCCCGATAGTAAATCCCTTTTCAGATAGTAAATCAGTTACTTAGCATTTTCTCATATCAATAATACCTCCACATGCCCAATGATACACTTCACACAAAAGACATTTCCCAATAGGTCCACCAGCCTCATCCAGGCCCCACCCAAGGCACTCACAGATCAACACCCCAGCCCTATACTAACTCAACACATCCAGATCTAAGCCTTCATCACTTGATTCAGCAGACCCTCAAGTTCCCACGAAAGTTTCCAGCCATGTCTGAGAGGCAGCCATGGGGCGGGGGCAGGCGAGGAGTGAGCTGTTCCGGGCCTGGCAGCTCAGGGCCTGGCCTCTGTTGCTCTAGTTTGTTCCACAACCAGCTGCTCCGGGTCTGGTCACTGCCGCTCCCGACCTAGTTGCTCTGGACTTGGCTGCTGCTGCTCCGGGCCTGGCCGCACCCGACCCGGCTGCTCCCCCGGGCCTGGCCGCTCCCAGCCTGACAGCCGCTGCTCCAGGCCTGGCCGCACCCGACCCGCCTGCTCCCCCGGGCCTGGCCGCTCCCAGCCTGGCAGCCGCTGCTCCGGGCCTGGCCACACCAGCCCCGCCTGCTCCCCCGGGCCTGGCCGCTCCCAGCCTGGCAGCCGCTGCTCCGGGCCTGGTCGCACCCGACCCGCCTGCTCCCCCGGGCCTGGCCGCTCCCAGCCTGGCAGCCGCTGCTCCGGGCCTGGCCGCACCCGACCCGCCTGCTCCCCCGGGCCTGGCCGCTCCCAGCCTGGCAGCCGCTGCTCCGGGCCTGGCCGCACCCGACCCGCCTGCTCCCCCGGGCCTGGCCGCTCCCAGCCTGGCAGCTGCTGCTCCGGGCCTGGCCGCACCTGACCCGGCTGCTCTGGGCCCGGCTGCCCCGGGCCCGGCCGCTCCGAGCCTGGCCACTCCCGACCTGGATGCTCTGGGCTTGGCTACTGCTGTTCTGGGTCTGGCTGCTCCCACCCCGGCTGCTCTGGGCCCGGCTTCTTCGGGCCCGGCCACTCCGGGTCTGGGTGTTCCTGGACTGGCCACCCTGGGCTTGGCCGCCTCCGCCTCATGCCTGGCTGCCACTGCCCCAGGTCTGGCTACTCCAGTGCTGGCTGTTGATGCTCTGGTTCTGACTGCTGTTGTTCTGGGGCCTGGCCGTTGCTGCTCCGGGTCTGGCTGCCACTGCCTTGTGCCTGGCCACTCTAGGCCTGGCCGTCGCTGTTCCAACATTCTGTCCTTTTTTTTTCTTTTTAAAACGCATTTATGTTGCAATGTTGGCTGGTGAGTTGAGTTCTGACTTAGTCTTTGATTTTTCAAGATCTTCTTTGTATTCTTTCTTAAGTAATTTTACTATTTTTTGCTCTCACTTGATTTCTTCACATTGAGAACTTCTTTGGTTTCTTCCTCCTTGTCCTGGGAGCTCAGCAGGTTGGCCTGTGGCACCCCTTTGTTCTCCGCGGGCTCCTGCGCTGCTTCAGCCTGTTGCCAGGGACGGCGCCCCCCAGGAAGCAGCCCCCGGCCTTGGCTCCATTGCCCGAGCTCAGTGGACAAAGGCTCAGGGGCACCCACACCCCCAGGGGTCCCGAGCCCGCCTCCTTGCTGGTGCCCGGTTGGCTGGAGTCCGACAGGGGCTTCCGCTCCCCTCCGTGTTCCCCCAGCCTAGAGCTTTTTTTTTTTTCTCCTTCCCGCTAGAGAAATCCAGCATCAGAGTCAACAGACTGTCCTCTGCGCGCAGTTTGTGCGAGTCCCACAGACTGTCCTCTGCGCGCAGTTTGCGCGAGTCCCGGGGGCCCGGCCTTTCGCGCTCTCCCCAGACTCCACCTCACAGCCCAGTCTCCCTCTGCCTGAGCCTGGGTCCCCAGGGATTAGCCCAGAACTGGGGTTTGGAGCAGTCCGGACTGAGGCTCAGCGCCGCCGGAGGCCTTGTTTCTTCCGGCTAGGGCAACCCAGCATCAGAGTCAATATTCAGTCCTCTGCGCGCATTGCGCGCGACTCCCGGGGCCTTGCTTTTCGCCGTTTTTCCGCCTCACAGCCCCGTCTCCTCCCGCGGGAGCCTGGGTCCCCAGGGTCTGGCCCATAACTGGGGCTCAGCGCTGCCGGGTTCAGGGGGGGTTCAGCACTGCCGGTTCGGGGGTTCAGCCCAGGCTGGGGGTTTTATTTCCTTCCTGCTAGGGAAGGAAAGGTGGCTCCCCGCCCTCTCCTCCTCTCCGGCTGCAACCTCTCCAAGCGTGCGTGCGGGCGGACGCGCGCAGCATGTCTCCGTACCTTAGGCTTTTTTTCAGCTCCTCTGATTTTCTTTCTGGTTTTCTCTTTCCTTCTTGTTGTAGAAATTTCAGTCAGTCGACTACCTGTAGCTCTGGGCAATGTCCACTCTACATTTTAGTTGTATTCCATTGAAATTGTTGTGTGCTGCCGCGGCTAGATGTCTACCCGAGCAGCCATCTTGGATCCTCTCGCAATTTTGTTGAATAAGTTTACAATGGCTGACTGAGCATATGACCCTTATAATAGGAGAGGTCATAACATAGAAAACAATTCGGGGCATTTGAATTTTCTGACTATTTGAATCACTCTTCTCTTTCTCCCCCCCCCCCCAGGGGGAGGTGTTTCCAAATAAATATAAACAATTTTACAAGTATCTAAAACTGTTAAATCTCAGAACAGATTTCTCAGCAAGATATTCATCTTATTGAACTTCAATCAATATATTACAATGTGTTTCACTGGGCTACAGTTAAATGCTAATTGCTAGATTGTGATATACTCAGTGACTACTTTAGAAATACAAAGCATCACCATGCACAGCTTGAACATCAGCTTTCATAAGAGCGACTACAAAGGCTCCTTGTAGAGGAACAATGGCACTGAGCGCTGGTAAACCCATCATGTCATTGCTTACAACCTCCAGCCCCTTGTGGTAGGGACCTGATAATTCTACATACTAGAATCTTTCTTTGTCAATGCATACATAAAACCTACCAATTTTGCCTCCTGCATGTTTCTTAATTCTGTTTCTCTTTCTCTGGGTCTCAACATCTCTCATTTAGATTGATATTTCCTTTCCTCTCTACTGCTGCTCGTTTCCTTCAGTTCTGCCCAATAAAGTGAGTAATAAAGAATATATCTGAAATGAACGTCTGACTGCCATTCCCTCACTTGACACTAATCAATGGTTCCTCCTTTGCTTTATTCTAAAGCCCACATTTGTTGACATGATTACAAAGTCTTAGTAATTTGGTGCCTTCCCATATGACCATTTTTTGCCTCATGCCTTTCCTGCATACAATTCCTATAGGAACTGTAATTTCATATCATTCACTTTATATGCTGTGCCCTTCTGTGTTTTCATACATTCGTTCATGTTGTTCCTTTTGTCTAACAATCTCTACTCCCTCCCTTTCTCCTCTTGCCTCCCCCAACCTCAATTATTTATGTCTTGGCAAAGCTACTGCCTCCTCCAGAAAGTCTTTCTGAAAGCTCTGGGTTAGATTATTCTTCTATTATTCTCTGACTTTGTGTGTTGTTTTCACTAAGCACACTATAAGTTCTTTAATAAACATAAGGAAAATCAGTAAAGGCATAAGAATAAAAATAATAAATATGTGCCTGCATTCTCTGTGCCCCACCCTGGACCATAAGGCCTTTGAGAGCACAAATCATAAATCATTCATATTTGTAATCCCACCTCCTAGCCCAGGACTGACAACAGATGCTCAAGGAATATTCTGTTAAATAAAGGTGACTAAGGAGAAAGAGAGTATACAAAAATAAATCACAGAAAAGACAAAAGGCCTCCTTGTCACATTCTTTCATAATGGTCCTGAACCTGCTCATTTTGGGGGGCAGCTACATTGACTTCTTTAATTTTAGAGGGTTCTAGTAAAAAATAACTTCAAATAACCACTTATTCCCTTCTAGCCAACAAAATTAATGCTAATGAGGAACTGTCCTGTTCTTGACTTCAAAAAAAGACTTCAGATCTCTTACTTTATCACCAAAGATACGTTTCTAAAAAAGATATGCCATGGGTAATCTCCATCAGGTAAATGGAAAATAAGGAAAGAGGACAAAACTAAGTAGAAAATAAACTAAAGTTGGCAGCACCATACCATTTATCACATGGAAAATTACTTACATGCAGAAGCAATACAGCAGCAAGAAAAGACTGTCCTTGGCAGTACCCAATGTCTTCGTCGTAGACAGAATAGGCCTGAAGAAAAGAGAGAGAAGTCTCATAAACATTCACAGACTTTCACTTTAGGGGTTAGCTCACATCAAGCTGCTGCTGGTTCTTGTCCATGCACTGTCACCACAGTTTCTCTGGTCCTTCACCTTGCATGTGTGGATCATGAGCACAGAGGCATCCCCAAAGAGGCAGCACCTTTCCTAAAGCAATTTTAGATGTCCCATTATCCCCAGGTTCATCAACGATATTTGGAATAAAGAGATGCTCAGAGCACCTAACTTAATTTTAAAAGATCCACAGTGCTTTGTCATCAGGCAAATAAGATCATGGGAGGCAGGAGCTAAGGACAAGAGAAGGTGGGAAGTTCTTGAGTGATGTGGGTTCTAGTGCACTCTATGGGGGAAATTTTAATGTTGTTGAATCTGTAGTGAGGATTCTCTAATCTAATAGACAAGATAATCACCTTCTATAACCTTCTCAAACACCTTCTAAACTACTCTCTCACTTTCCAAAAGGCTAAAGGGTAAAAATGACTCCTTCCAGTTGTTCCACTGGGGCAAAGCAGAAACATTTAGTTGGCATGTTTTACAGAATGGCTGGGAGAGTCTCACAGATGTTCCTGATTCACAATCTTTAACATCATTCTAACCAGGATGGCAGGTACAGAGCCAAAGAGGCCCATTCATAGCAAATCCAGTGCTCCTAGGGAAACAGCTGTCATAACATTTAATTCAGGGTTCATCTTCATCTTCAAAGGAAAGGAAACAAGGTTGTATGCATAATATATACCACTTAGCACTTCAAACTCTGCTGGTGTATAACTTTTAAAGAAGATACTCATTAGAAGTTTTTAAGAAATTGTCTCAGTTACTGTAGGCATGGTGTGCTAATCAAAGAGTAAAGAAAAGGAATTAATAAACTTTTTCTGTAAAAGTCCAAAGAGTAAATATTTTCAGCTTTGAGGGACACATATATCTTTGGCATGTTGTGTATTTTTTAAATATATTTTTATTGATTTCAGAGAGGAAAGAAGAGGGAGAGAGAGATAGAAACATCAATATGAGAGAGAATCATTGATTGGCTGCCTCCTGCATGCACCACACTGGGGACTGAGCCCACAACCCAGGCATGTGCCCTGACTGGGAATAGAACCAGTAACCTCCTGGTTCATAGGTAGATGCTCAACCATTGAGCACATGCTGGCTGGGCTGTTTTTGTTTTTTAAACAACCCTTTAAAATATAAAAAACTTTTTTTTTTACTTAAAAAGTTTTTTTCTGAAATATATAGCCTGTGTTCAATAAAATACACACATTTTAATTGCACAATTCTTTGAGTTGGGTCATTTAGGTAACCCATCATTACAGAAATTTCCATCATTCCAGAATGTCCCTCAACTCCTCTTTGCAGTCAAACCCAGGCAAGTAATGATGTGATTTGATCACAATATATCAACATTTTTTAAAATTTCATTTAATGGAATTATATAATGTATACTCTTTTGTGCCTGGCTTCTTTTACTCAGCATAATGTTTCTGAAATTGTCATATTACTGCATGTATCAGTAGCCCATTTCTTTTCATTGCTGAGTAGTATTCCACTGCATGAATATCCACAATTTGTTTATCCACTCTCTCATTGATTGAACTTTTGTTGTTGTTTTCCCCGTTTTTTACTAGTATGGATAAAGTTGTTATGCATAGACAAGGCTTTTCGGTGGTAAATAAATTTTCACTATGCGAATACCTAGAGTGGAGGTACAGGGTTCAAATAATAAGTGAATGCTCAATTTGATAAGAAATGCCAAACTGTTTTTTCCAAAGTAGTGGTACAATGATTATGGCAATACCAGCTAAGTATGAGTACTCAGTGCTTCACATCCTGTCCTTACTTGATATTGCCATTCTCCTTCCTTTTATTAATTTCTGTGGTTCTGACTTGCACTTTCTTAATGGTTAATGATGTGGAGCATATCAAGTGCTTTTAGGCAATTAATACATATATGTTTGTGACCGTCTTTATTGATTCTTAAGATTTCGTCCAGTTTACAAACCCATTGTTAGACTGCATTGCCAGTATTTTCTCCCAGTATGTGCCCTGCCTTTTCCTTTTCTTAATGGCATCTTTTGAAGTACTACTGTTCTCTTTTAACCTTCTTCTGCTAATGATGATATTATCACACACTCTTCTAATGAGAGAAAAATTAGATCAAGAAATCATTATCTAATGAGTCTGAAAAGAGCTTTTCTTCATTATCATCAGTTGCCAGAGCTCTGCTGTATTTTAAAAATTAAAAGATAAATTAACATTCTTTTAACTTTTAAATTTTCTTTGCTTTATACAGTTATATTTCCAATTGCTTCATTTGTACTTTTACTTTTACCCAGAGCTCATGGGTGTGTGTGTGTGTGTGTGTGTGTGTGTGTGTGTGTGTGTGTGTGTGTGTGGTGTATTGAGTATGTGTTAGGAGTTGGAAGGAGGATTGCAAACAGAGAGAACAGAGAAAGAGAACAAAGCTGAAGAAGAGGGAGAAGGTCCTAATATTATCCTATTTGCAGCATTTCTGGTGGTGCTCTGTCACTGACTTTTTCACGAACACAGAATCCTAGGATTTGTTGATGACAGAGCATGTTGCATGAGTGATAAATAGATATTCAATCAATGCTTCTACTTCCCCATGAAAGATGTCTAAGTGGAGGACTCCTTTGAAGTCTGGATCTCCAAAAATCAATCATTTTTCATCAACTCTGATGACACTTTGACAAATGTTGGATCCATCATTAGATAAATACATTTAACATTTACTGAGAAGCGTGCTATTTATATGCTTGTTTGCATTACAAGAGAAGTTCAATAAAAAAAAAAAAATCAAGGTTGCCCTGGCCAGTGTTTCAGAATGATTAGAACATAAGCCCTACACTAAAGGATTGCGGGTCCAATTCCCAGTCAAGGGCACATACCTGGGTTGCAGGTTCAATCTCCAGCCCCGGTTGGGTGCATGTGGGAGGCAATCAATTGATGTGTCTCTCTCACGTTGATGTTTCTCTCTCTCTCCTCTCCCCCTCTTCCTTACACTCTATCTGAAAATCAATGTAAAAAATATTCTTGGATGAGGATAAACAAAACAATAAAAAAAGAATGTAATCAAAGTCTACCACTCATGAGAGATGGTATGAATTCAGCAAGTCCACAGACTATTTTCTCACAAGAGAGCTTAGAATAACAATGCAAATCAATCTGTATTCATCTTATTTTCCTCTTGTCTTATAGTTTTGGTTAGGTTAGTAGGAAAAATGACTTTTTCAGAGGCCACCTACTAAACTGATTTTATAATTCACAGTTTGAAACACAGTGTTCTAACAAGTTCTTTTGTTTGGAGTTCTTCCAAGCACTAGTAGTCTAAGCTTCTCCAACTGAACTAAAGTGAATCCTTTCCCTCTACTCAAAACTTGCCTCTCTTTGCATCAAACCTCTCCCAACTCCTAATTTTATTTGCTTCTCTGACCTGTTCAGTATGACTTTTAGATAACACTCGCAGATGATAAATAAATGCTAAGTCCAGTGAGAAATTGTTAAAATGACCTTACACAAAATACTTGTTAGTTACAAAGAGAAACAAGTAACTTTATAGTGCAGAAGGCTGATAAATAACATCTTATTTATGTGATCAAGTGAGCATCAGCAATAACCGCAACAGTGTGCTCCCTGCCAGAACAGGTCATCTCTTCTGTTAGTCCTGTCAAAGATATATAATCCAAATCCAACACGACGAAACATCAAACCCAAACAAGGACCAGTCTAGAAAATGACTGGCCTGTAGTCTTCCAAAGCACCAAGGGCAAAAAAATGAAGGAAGGAGTGAGATGCTGTTTCAGACATAAGGAAATCAAGGAGACAGGACAACCAAAGGAAATGTGTAATTCTGAACTAGCTCCTTTTTTGTAAAGAACATTATTTGGACAATTGGTCTAAAGCTTAGGCAGAAGCAATTTATCAATGCTATGTGTGTGATTTCTATGTTCTATTACAGTTATGTAGGAGAATATTCTTGCTTGTTAGAAAGCACCCTCAAGTACTGAGGGCAGTGTGGCACCATAATGGCAAATCACTCTCAAATAGTGGAAAACACCAAACTCCAGTACTTAGAACTTTTCTGTAAGTTTGAGAATGCTTAAAAATATATATAGACATGGAAATATACATAGGTACATAGATTTGACAGAATCATTTTGTCTGTTGATTGTAATAATAAAATAACGGACTTTAAAAATGGTTATTAAGTTTGTCCTATATGCTGGTAAAAGCAGAGTATCTACATAAACTATATAAATAGGTTCACTGACATGAAATAATCTAAATTCTGGTGACGATAAACATAGAGGCTAAATGTACTCACTGATACTCACTCACAAAGCAATTTTCTTATCTAACATAGCTGGCAAACTTCCTAGATATAACTTTCCTTTTATATAACACTTCAAAAAAAAAAAAAAAAAAAAGGCCCTTGGCAACAATTTAAAACTGAACTGATATACTTGTGTGGTTGTTTTTTTTGTTTGTTTATTTGTTTGTTTTTAAAGAAGGAAATGTAAAATAAGTAGACTATCATAACCTTAAAAAAATTGCCTCTATTATAAGTAAACTACTGTGTGATAATGGTAAATTACTCAGAGTATTTCTTTCACATTCTTGAACTTTTAATTTAAAAAATAATAATATGTAAAGGCTATCCTAAACAAAGTCTCTAAAATTAAGCAACAGCTCTGATCTTAGGAAATTATCCCGAATAATCTGTGTGAATAAAATTACTTTACAAAAGAAGAAAGTGATAGAAATAAAAGAGCTCTTCTAGAGTTTCTATACATTAAACACCTAAAAGATCAGTATGACAACCATGAAAATATGCCTCCCAGATCTCCAATGGGGACATAATTAGCAGATGTCTCCACTGCTGTGCTCTGAAACCCATCCTGCATTTGCACCTGAGCCACACTTCCCATGGTTTGCTCCCAGCCAATGACTGAG